ACATCGTGATTTTTCCACCTGCACCATTTACTCATCTGAGTTCCAAATCTTCAAATATACATGCATGTATTTTATATCGGCATCTGTTCCCCTCTGTAAAACCACATATTTCCCATGTGTCTTAGCAATTAACTCCTGGATGTGGTATGAAGGAGAGACCAGATTTGCTTAGTGTCAAAACTTAGAAGACACAGAAGGCATGATCTGATGTTACCCCTCTGATTTATGTCTGTCTTCGGGTATTTTAAAGCGTTTGCTTGTGCCGTGGGGGGCTCTGATTTATGTCTGTCTTCGGGTATTTTAAAGTGTTTGCTTGTGCCGGGGGGGGGTGTGTGTGTGTGTGTGTGTGTCTCTATTGCGTAGTTATAAAAAGAATAAAGCCATGCACAAGAAAAACATGAAAAATTGCAATATTTTCCACACCTAGTAAACATTCCCATTGGTTATTTGGCTGTATTCAAAAGGCTAAGACTTTTATTGCTCTACTAGCAAAAGCAACCTTTCTTCATAGTGGAGCAGTACAAAGAAAGAGCACAAAAAAATACACACATCACAGTGCCTGAAATTCTGTTTGAACAACTGTATTGATTGGGTCTGACCCCTTTACATTTTTTTCCATTATTTCAAAAGGTGCATCTAACTGTAGCTGAATTGAACCAACCGAGATGAACTTTCCATGAAAACTTCTCGAGATATTTCTTTAGTTCAAAGCTTTGGAATTTTAAAGAGCATTTTTAATACAAGTCTGTTGAGGTATTCTGTGCAACAACCATACTTTGAATGTTAAACTACAGGTAAACCTAAGAGGAAGGTAACATTATAAAGGCTACCGTGAAATTACTGGGAGATGGCAGAATGACTTGGAGCACTAATTAGAAAAGTAAATAGAACCAGCAAGTATTGCATATGCACACATTTGTGTGCTGTTTGCTTGTTATTTCCTTGCCAGTGCTCCTGGTTGCCTTACAGAGAGCACGGAACAGCCTCCAAAGAAAGCCCTAGCGGAATGAGGTAGCGTTTTTGGAGCAGTTATTGATGAAATAGTGTTATCAGATGTAAGCTGAAAGGACAGTGCTGTTTTCTTCCTGCCCACTAGAAGCCTTTTACCAGGAGCTACAGTGTGAGAAAGCACTGAAGGAAGGAAGGGATTAAGGAAACAGAGGTGAGTGGTGAGTTTGTAGGAAATAATGGCAGAGATGTGTCTGCAAACAAGACTTAAGAGGCTGAAGGTGAGAGTGGAGAACAGCGTAGTGATCTGAAGTGAGAGGTAGTAAAAATGTTGAAGGAGCTGGAATATGTGGACTCGGACTGAAGCAAAACGCTTTAAGGAAGGGACTCGGCCTAAATTGTAGAGGGGGAGGTAAGAAGAAGGAGTAGCTGGCAAGGGATAGTGCAAGTCCAGTGTCCTAGTACAAAAAATACCTTGTGAATGGGATAGAGAAGGGAGCAGAGTGTTGATGGTGGCAGTGGGTGAAGGAGAGAGTCGCTGACGACTCTAAACCCGTGTTTTGGTAAGAGGACATTTGTCTTTTCTATTTGGAGCTGCTGTGCTCTGTTCTTTTAAGCCAAATTGCAGTCAAGAATGGCTGGTGTGGGTGAAACTCTCCTTTTCCCTGTAGAAACAGCTTGCCCCAGAGCCAGGGGTGGAAAAGGTTTGGTCCTCCCTGGCACAGAGCCCGGCCCGAGTGAGCGCTTCCCTCGGCGGCTGTGATGGGCCACTGGGAGACCGAGCGTTGCCTGGCCTGCTGCAGCCTCCGGCCGCACTTCTGTCGCGTTGCCAGGGGGTTGGGGCTCTAGAGCCGGAATTGAGAAAAGCCTTAACATTATTTTCCGGTTCATCTCTTGAGACATGGGAGGTTCTTGGAGATTTTTTGAAACCCTGGCTGATGGTTTACGCGAGGTGTAACCCTCGTGAAATCAAGTAGCTAGCGACGTTTAGTTCCAGTGAGTTGTACCACTCTGGGGGAGAAAGTTGACGTTGGAGAAGTCACTGCTAATTCTATTTGTCTCTTGTGTTGTCTGTTTTGTTGGCTTTTCTGACTGCTTAGTTTATGCTAAACAGTTCTTCTGTGTCCCTGCTCTGCTTCTTCCATACTGCGCCTTTGAGCATCTTCCTCTCCCAGTATGGAACAGGATTTTTGTCTTCTCCCCAACCCAGTTGTAGATTGCCTGTGTGTACATGTCGGGGGGACGTGAACACGCACACACACGTGCACATGCCTGATGATCCCACTCTCCTTTCATTTGGTGCTAAGACATAGAATCAGCAAAAGCTGAGGGACCGCTGCTGAGGTGCGCACCAGAAGTGGCTGCTCTGCTCGCTTTCCAAGTCATACCCTGGATGAGAGGCTCCGAGGGAAGAAAGAGCAATGGCCGGTGAGTGTGGCTGAATCCCCTGCCTTCCTCAAGCTGCCTGTGGGCCTGAGGACTCCTCAGTTGTCTTCACTGAATCCAGTTTAAAAGTGACTTGGCAAATGATTTTATACGCAGATTTTGTTCAGGATCCAGGTAGAGAGGCTCCATCAGTTAGCTACTGAGTAAATTTGTTCTCTTTTTTTTGATCTCTATTTTCTTTGTGTGTGTCCAATATCAATTTCTTATGTTAAGAAGTATTTCTGACAAAAAAAAATTTGTTTTGGAAAGAGATGTTCTATTACTGCATCCCTACAACGAGCTCACAATTACTGGACTTCAGTGGCTGTAACAGGAAGGAGGAGACTTGGCCCTAACCAGTTAAGGATCAACAGCTTCACCTGCATTTGTTTTAAAGCTTCAGCAATAACTGTGAGGGTGAAAAGCAGCCAGTTCAGATTGCCAAACCTTTCTGCAGTCTTTAATGTAGCTTGATAGCGGTTTGAGAGAATTTCCCTGTGCGTCAGGGTGGGCAGTTGTGGAAAAGTTCAAAGCAAGGAGGATGGAGTTTTTTTTTCATATGACCCCCTGTATTGCTGGACTGATGATACAAACCCCCTCTTCTGACGTATGTTACTTCTCATTCTTCTTCACCATAAATGGTGCTGCATTTGGATAGGTAATAGCACAAACTGTCAGGGTGATCTCATTCTGCCCCTGCACATCAAAACCAAGTCAAATGAGATTAAATTGCCAAGTATTCTGCTGCATTAACGCTGTGCAGAAACTAAGGAAACTTCTGTCTGTCCATCGTGATGCTATACGCCTGTGTACTACTCAGATATTTTTCTCAGGAAAAGTGTGGTTGAGGTGATGGTCTTAAAAGCAAACAAAACCGACTCCTGCTTTGTCCCGTCGGTGAGGGTACCTTGACACATGTCCCTTCCCTTAATCCCCTGACAGCTTCCAAGAGGCTGATGCAAACAACCGTGCCAGGCTTTGATTATGAGATATCGCACTGCCGCTCATTCTCTTTGTCTCCTGTAGTTTACAGAGGCAGCTTCAGTGCATAATTTAATCCCTGTGCTGGGGACTGTAGCAAATCCACGGAGATTTCTACCAACCGTCCTCTCTGGCATCAGAACAACGCGTGCACATCTTCTTTGATGTGAATTCCCCAACCAGAGCCTTAGAAGGACCTATAGCTTTGAAGCTGGCCTATAAATTGTGCTTTCAGGAATCAAGTTGTCAGCCTCCTCTTCGGGAAGAAAGGGAGAGTAAGCTGTAAAGCACCTGCATAAAGCCACAGGGCAACTTACAGCTCTGGTTTTCCTGGCCTCGAGGAATTCCCCTATGATGTTGAGAAAGGAACGGATCCCTTTTTACCTGGCTTAGAGGTATCCTCTTTGTGGCTGCAGGAGCCTGTGGGCAGCGGGGCTGTGATGGTACTCGCCATGGGGGGGCTCCCTCTTCCGGGGCAAAAGGAAGGGAAGCAGGCACACCCCTGCTCTCCACAAGTGGTTTCAGTCTTCCAGCACCAAATGCTGGCAACGCCCCGGCACTGACCTGCGTGCAGGTGGGTTTTCAGTGTGGTTTAGAAGCAGATGAAAACTTTTAGCGGATGTGACGGTGGTTCTGTGAGAGATCTGACCTCCATCAGTTGTTTCCTAAGACGTGTTAGGAGTACGGGCAGGCTTTTGCCTTTCTATCGAGATGGAAATAAGCTGGTCTTTAAGGTGAGGAATTTCAGTGGCCAAATTTTGTTTGAAAAGACAAATACAGTTGCCCTCATTGTGATTCATCTCCGGGGCCTCCTTCCATACCAACCTGAAAAAGCAAAGAACTGACTAGAATCAGCCAAGACACCAACCTTGATTTTTCCTGTGTTCTCCGTCTCCCGTGAGAGCTGAAACCATTCTGCTGCTATCCATGCCACTGCTGCTGGTGCTATTACACCAAACGTTGCTAAGCCTGACTCCTGAATTAAAACACGTACTGCAGAATCCACGCTGGACTGACTTGGCCTGTCTCGGTACATACAGGGAAGCCTCTCGGGCTGCTTCATAGCTGAATCTGCAGGTTCTTGACTAACAGGTTTATAAATGCCAGGCGGAAACAGGTGCCATTGTGTAGAGCTCTTCCTATTTTGAGCAGTTCGTCTCAGGTCAGCATCGTAAAGGAGTTGTGCCGAACATCATCAGATGCTCACCATGTTAGGTGCCATACTTTTGGGGAATGTTGATTATTTTCTGTCTGGTCAGAGCTGTTACTGGAATATTTAGCTCTGGTGTCTAAATAGGAAAAGCTCCTACCAGTCTATTAGGGAGGTTAATCAGCTGATCTTTTGGGGAGGGCCTTCTCTCTCCTCCCAGAGACAGAGCAGCTTTCCTAAGCCATGGTGAGGTTTTCTTTCTTCACCACATACAAGCAACTTTAGTTTTTGTCTATTAGAATCTCGCAGTATTGGGAAAACAAAAACCGTCCATACAAATCAAGTACAGACCAGTGATCCTTAGTGGCTGCTGTTATGTTCTTAAAACTGAATGACTTAGAAAAATGGGTGTATTAAACATGTGTATAGTGAAACAGATTAATCAAAATCTACACTCAGTTTTTATTTACGATCATATTACTTTTATTTTTTCCACAATGTAACTTATCCCAAGTCCTCCCCCAATAACTGATGCTGCAATGCTGACGTTCAATAAACCTGTACAACGATAGTACGTGCTGCTGCTTTCAGGTAAGCCAGCCGGCCTGCCCCTGTCTGCACGTCCTAGATCGTGTACAGGCATGGAAGATCCTGCACGAGCACCTGCAGCATTTCCTGAGCCACCGCCGTGGCAGGGTCAGGCTGCACCAGGGGTGCAGATCAGGTGTTCTCTTCTCCCAGCAAGGGGAGGCAGCTGAGCTGTCTGACATACTAAGAGGAAGCGAAGTTCAAAAAGTTCTGATATTTTATTAATTACTTGAGTACAATACACTATAAATTTGCAGAGGAATGGATGTGCTTAATTCTCACGGGAAGGAGTTACTGGAACTCCTGACTCCTTAAGCCTATCAACTTGAGAGGTACAATCGTTTTGTGATAATTGCCTTAGACCTCCAGGGGATGCCTGTTTGGGGAGAAAATGAAGAAGGGCTTGCATACTTAACTCTGTATTCTATATTTAAAAAAACTAAATTATTTGTAGATCCTTTTCATTATCAAAGTATATTTTCTCTTTCAAAGTAAGCTGGTCTCTTTGAGAGGAGTTATTTTTAATAACAGCTCAGTGCTATAACTAGGAGCCAGTAATTCAAAAATCACTTTTTCTTTCCTACCGGGAGGTATGAAGAGCTTCAGCTTATCCCCCTCAGGACAGAGCCAAAGCAGCAATGAGAGCCGTCTGTTGGATTACGCCTTTCTCAAACATCTCCTGCGCAACCACTGTAGGACTTCCGATGGATACGCTGATGACTGCTGTCACACAGTGAGTGACTTCTCCTCTTAGCCCTGTCAACACTAGCATCTATAGACAAAAATCATTGTTTAAAGCTCTAGTACATCACAGAATAGTGCTGATACTGGTATTTTACAACTAACGCAACATCCAGTAATTCACATGTAATCTGAATAGTTAAAAATTCAAGACTGGGGTACTAACAAAAGAAACCACTAACATGAAGTTTCCTTATCTGGCACGGGATAAGGGGAGGGACAGTTTAGATAACATTGTAGAGATTGGGCAGGAACAAAATGAATTTATTTCTCCATCCGGTATTTTATACACTTTACAAAAAACCAGTAATATCACTATGCCCATAAAAATGTTATCCATAGCAACTGAAAGCAAATACTACTTTTTTGTCGTCTAATGGGGTCTTTTTAAAATCATAATACAAAGATTTGTGCTGTAGCAGTCCTCCACTTTGCACTGTAACAATAAGGCTTACTGTACTTTAAATACAAAGCTGTTACATCTGCAGTTATGAACCACTGGCTTTAACAAACATCATTTTATAGTTGCTCTTTGCTTCTTTTTTGTTTTCTGGAACCTCAGCTTCATCGTGTTTTTCAGCGGCTTGTAGCTCCTCTGCAGACTCCTCTTGCTCTGACTCTGAGCCACTTTCGGAGTCCTCTGAGCTCTCTTCAGAGGAGTGTCCACCTGCATCTTCTTGCTCTTCACCTTCCTGAAACTAGAAGTTCAGATCATGAGACGGATAAACCATTATTTCCTGGCAACTCCACTGCAGCTTTTACATTTCCCAGTGAGAATGTTTCACTTAATGGCTCCTTTCATTTTAGTACTAAAATGGGCTACGTTGCTAAACATGGGTCTTTAATATACAAATTATTAGACAGAAGGCAGCTCCACTGAAGTGGGTAACCGTATCAACCGTGGCATCTGTGGCTGCATCAGCCACAGTCTTACTTAGTTACAGCAGAAATCCTAAAGACACCACTAAACGAATTTGAAAAGTTTCAGATCAAATCAGTTCAGCAATTCCTTCCTTCCTTACGTACTTGGTGTACACAGTACATAATGACACTTGAATCCTTGTCACGGAGTGAAACAATGAAGCTAGCGGCTAGACCATCAAGAATTCCTATTCACGACTAATCTTTGAAAATAAGATTAGCACACCGCAGCATGAAGAATGCTGAAGTAATCCAGTGACCTGCTAACAGGAACAATCCCAAAATGGAATTTCGCTCATGCTCCTAAAGAGCAAAGTCTTCATGGCTGTAATATTAAGAATTCCCAGTGCTGCACAGGTAGTTTTACTCGCTTGGGAAACATCAGCCATGTTTTTATGCAGTAATTGGTGCTAACAGTTAGCAAAAAATTAATTACCGTACTTTTCAGTTGGCAGATGAAGACACATTCCTAATAAGCTAATTCTGTTGGGTTTTGCCACACTTCTCCTCCTGTTCATTCCTATGGAATTCCTTGCAAGTGCAAGACCAGTCAGGCATCAGCTCGCTGGGGGACTCTGTACAGTGAACTCTTCTCGTCTGACCCCTCTACAGCCACTTACTTCTCAGGACCACAGCGAGGTACGTGCCTCACCGCAACAAGAGGCTAAGATTAATTAGCTCTCAGTGACAATGCAGACAGCCTGCTTTCTTATATATTCCTTGGCAACACGCTGATTTACTGTATTTGTCATTTTCTGTCCTGATCAGTCATGACTACTATGGAGCATTAAGCATGTCATATCACTTTTTAGAACCATGAGAAGCATCAATCATTTCCATGCACCTAAATGGCCACCGCAGCGTACACAAATAGGGGTCAAGTGCTGGCAGTAAGTTCATCCTCTAACCCAAACTGCGGAAGTTTGCCCCTAGTTGTGGTGACTGGATTTTTAAACCATGTCTCATCTTGCCTTAGTGAAGTGAAAGCCAAATCACTACAGAAATAAACAACTTACTACCTCACTGAAACCAAGTCCACAGTGACGCCGGTTTCGCCCCGACATCGTGCTGTCCATGCTCTGCTGGTACTGAGACTCCAGCTCTTCATTCATTTTCTTGTCTTCTTCGCCTGCATTGTTCAGTGTACTTTGGTTATGGTTCATTCAAATTAACAAAGACATCAAATTACATGAAGTCACAATTTCAAAGTTTATTACTATATACGTGAAAAAGTTTAAATTGAGCCATCTTAAACCACTAGAACTGAGTATTATTGCAGACGAACCAGCAGATTTATATGCAATCATAACAAGTGCGCAAGCAAAATAGCTTTCATACAAAAATGAGTTAGTAAGTTCCTAGGACCTGGCTACATTCAGACAGTTGTGCTATAGCACAGTGTACGTTCTACTAAACAAGGTAAACGTGACGAGTGTGACTTCTCTGTGCTTCCTGCCAGTGCTGCAGCATGTTACGGCACAGAGAAAGTTTCTGACCTTCACTACATAACGTGATTACTATGATTAAACCATGATTAATATATAGCAGCAGTAGTCAGGACAATACTCCCACACTTGTTTATAGAGCTGTATCTGAAACTATTTCATGCATCGTGAACTATCAGGAGTGATTACAACACCTCTACATTCTTCCATCTTTAGGAATTAGCAGAAGAACTAATTTTCATGAGCTACTTCTACATGCCCCTTACTTGTTTGAATATGTAAACAAAGAATCATTTTTACTGGGGGAAAACATGGTCTAAAATAGTTAAGAATCCTCTGTTCTTGTGAAAGGTTAAGAATCTCTAATTCTCCCCCGATAGGCCTACAATTTTTAATTTGTATGTCTGCAGTACAAGCTTTTAATTTTACAAATTAATGTTTCCTTGCTTGGAAGTTAGAGTGGTATGTTATTATAAAAGGACAATAACTGTATGTTGGACAAGGAAGTAAAGCATTAAGCTAACAGCTGTTCTGATTTTTTGTGAAAAAAACCCCAGCATCTTAACTTTTTGCTAATAACAAAGCGGTACTGATTCTTTATGACTCCTTAGTGGGAAGCATCATCTCCATTTTAGGAAATTCAGGCATAAGGAAATAATTCTCGGTCACTCTGCAAGCTAACAGCAGAACCTGGAACCAATCCTCAGGCTTCTTTTGGTGTTTTGGTCAATCAATTTTTTTGGCAACTGAAAAATGACTAGTGGAGCACATCAGGGTAAGAAGTTTTCTGGAAGTCTGACAGTTGCTATTCTATACGGCTTTATCAAAGCTTCTCTCTGACAGTCAAGCCCAGCTTGGTTTTGATGTACTTTGACTTACTACCTGAGCAAGCCTAATAAGAAGTTACCATGGTAATACCTTATATGACATCAAATTATTGCTGATTGCCAAGATGACCTTGCAGATCTTTTCAGCTTCTAACTCACTGCGTTAAGGCAGAGATCTTTCCATTCAACAGGTAATCAGGTGGAGGGAGAAATAGACCCTGTTCTTTTCCATGCACAATGATTTAGAGGTTTGGATATCCATACCCGGCAGCAAGGAAGAAGTATAATACTGCTAGGCACCAATAGCAATAAAACTTTAATTAGCAAAATGAGACTGAGGACCTATAGACCCCGATTTCCAGGGCATTGGTACACAAGTTTAACTGACTATCATGTACTTTGCTAAACCTGGACTTTAGAAGGTAAGTAAATGCAGTCAGAGAAACTGTCAGGAATCTGACAAGAGAAATTAGGAACTTCTACAACTCCACAGCCTGACCTGTCTTCAACTTCAGCCACAAAACCTGAAACCCCTCTCTGCAACATCTACGAAGCTCACAGTACTGGGATGTTCCTAAATAAGTGTTTGATTTCCAACTTGGTATCGGCTGTTGGATAAACTGACCTGTCCTGAAGTGGGAGGTTGATCTGTGGTCTCCGATAACAAGGCGGCCAGTATGTTCTTTCTAAAAGAAAAGGCAGTTTGTTTTGGAGCTTTAGGGTGCACTGACAGCTCTGCCAACATTCTGGAAATCACAAATGGAAAAGGTTTGCAGTCAAACCTTGACCACCAACAGTAAGACTGTAAGTTTTACTAGCTAACAGCTGCTTCTCTTGATGAACTTTTTTCATCTTTGTTTCGCTGCATTTTCTGAAAAAAGAAACCCCAACAACTAGATACTCTTTACTCTTCCCACACCTCAAAGCTGGTTCTATTTCATTCCATTTCTTGCTACTCCAAAGATGAAGGCAAGCCATGCCAGTACATCAGCTAAACGAGGAAGAATGGTGATCACCTGATATGAAAACTACGCTACACG